TACAAGTTCCTATTTCCTGGTGACATCTCCTCTCCATCAAAATCTAATAGTTGTTTTGTTATTAATGTCTTGGAAAGTAACAAAAGCTCACTTTTATTTGTGGTAACCTTTTCATATCTTCTGTCCGGTACTGTTCTCTGTCAAGTGTTGACAGAGTAGATGACATAGACTGACATAGTTTGTGACGTTTCAGTGACTTCTGAGTATATTATAAGGAATGAGTACTAAACATACATTGCTCCACAGTGCCATTTTATTCTTAATCTTTAGAAATAAGCATGAGGTTCTTAACTTTACATCAAGTTGATATGTCAGTTGGTCAGGCGGTTTGAAAACTTTCTAAAACTTAGGATTAAGTAACGAAAAGTAACAATGCAAAATACAGTAATAACAAAGAGAATCTGATGTCAGGACATACTTTTTAAATAGAAATTTTGTTGCACTTGTTTAGGCACAATTTAATAGTCCTTTTTCCCTCTTCGTCTCCACCAAGGCTAATAATATTGGGAATCTTAGTGCAGAGAGACACTAATAGCCAGTGTCATTTTCTTTTATGCTAACTTTGGAAATATTAGGAGACTTTACTGGAAGGGACCTCAAAAGAGTATTTAGTCCTTTATTATGACCTCCATTTAAATAAGAGATCACTTAAGCTTTTCAGAAAAGCCTACCAAATTGCTTTTGGAGATGGGAGGAACTGAGAAAATACTTCAGGTAAATAAAATGCTAAAAGTAATTGTTTTGATACCCTTAAATTACACTGAATTGCATTAAATTGTCTTTAATTATAGCAGTAATAGTTAAAAAGCACTAATATGCTCCTTGGATTTGCATTTTTCAAAAAGACAGGTATCAACAACAGTTGGGAACTAGCAATCACTTCTCATGTCTCGCAGACTGCAGTGGTCTGTAGTGTGTCAGTTGAGTAACAGTAATCTAATCCATATCCCTCTCTCAACCACAGTCAATTATTATCAGATGAAGCAAAAGCTTTATAATACATGAAATGAATATAAAACTTATACTACACAGACACAAACCATATATTTGCGAGTTAGTTATATATACGAGTGACTCATACGTGAGAGTACTATAAGAATATAGTACTTTCATGTATGAAATGTGTATAAACTATGTTTTTAAAGCAGAGTTAGGGTAGGACTTGGTGCAACTGCATAAGTTCTGCATCACAAACTGCAGCGTTTAACTATTGACGGAACTTTTTTGTTGTATGAAGGTACATCTGGGATAACCTACCAATGAATAATGAAAGCTCTTAGTTACGTTATGGCTGTTTATCCTTGAAACCGTCCAATGATTCTGTGCCTTCTCTATGCTACTTTTAACTGTATGTAACAGTTAGAGATGAGGGGGAAAAAGTAACTTTTTCGCTGCAATTAAAACACGGTGCCTCTTGCTCCGTGGTCAGTGAATTTGAAGAACAGTTACTATAGTTTTATTTCAGTTTATTTCAGCTATTTGGAAATACACTCCCGTCTTTTTGAAGCTAAACAAGCCCAGTTCTCCCAGTGTTTCCTCATAGACCGTGTCATTGATGTCTTAGCATTTTTTTCCTTCTCATCTGAATTCTTTCTAGGAAGTCAATGCATATATTTTTTTTTAAGTGGGTCCCAAATACAGACACTGTAATTAAGCATAACTTTTATTAGTGCTTAGTAGAGTAGAATGATTCTCATTTATGTTGTGTGAAGTTACTGATTATACATTTCAGTGTAATAGTTTGCTGGGGGTTTTTTGCTTGTTGTAGTTTTTGGTTTTTTGGTTTGGTTTGGTTTTTTTGCAATAGGGAGACATCTTGGTTCATATTCAGTTTGAGAATTACTGACTTTCTACAGGCACATGTGAATTCATGTGCATGCAAACATGCACATGGTCTTTTCTGGAAAACTGCTATGTCTTTATTTGCTCACCGTTCTGTTTTTGTGCAGTTGATTATTCTTATCTAGATGCAGTCAGTTCTGCATGCTCACGTGTCCTGTTTCCGAAGACTGCATCTCCAGTTCATTGAGATCACTTTCAATACTAATTTCTGCCAGAGTTTTTGATAGTCCCTCCCCGCTTAGTGTCATGTGCGCGTGTAGTGAGTGTTCCCTCTGTTCAGTCATCCAAGACACAAATGAAAAAATTGAATCATGCTAGACTTGGAACAGAAACTTTCAGGGCCTTTCTTTATGCATCTTCTCATACTAACAGTGAACCATTAATTAATACTCTGTGTGCAGCTTTCCATCATTAATAGTTTCACTTTATACTCTGTATAAGACTTCTGTGTGCTCATACCTTGGTTATGAGACTTCACTATTAGATTGTCCGAAGTCAAACTATAGGGCACCTGCTGCTTTTGCCTCACTTGAAAGATCTGTTCTGTGGTCTGAACATTGGTCTGACCTGATTTGTCTATGATAAATCCATGTTTTCTGTTACTGATCCTATTATCTTTTTCATAGGCAGATTTATTTATTTATGTACAATTGCTTTCCTGGAAATTGAAGTGAAGCCAGCTGGCTAATAGTTTCATGTCCCCTCCTTTTGACCTTTCATCTTTTGTAAAGACAGGTACTATATTTTCTGTTTTCCAGTCCCTGGAATCTTACTCTGTGACTGCTGAGAAGTTATTGCTAATAACTATGATTGCTGCTGCTAATTCCTGAAGTACCCTAGTGTTTTTCATCATGCCCATTTATTGGTTTGAAAGCATCTACTGCATTCAAGACCTATCTAAAATAATAGGAAGTAATGTCAGCACCGCTTGTTTTTCAGTGATTAAGGAGCCCAGCACTAATATCACTAAGATTTTTTTCACACAGTAAGTGTATTGAGGGGGAAAAAAAAAAAAAAAAGGAAAATGAACATATACACCCCCACATATACTCTAGATTTTAGTAGAAATTTTAAGTTAAAATAGCTAGCTATCATTTGAAAGGAGGTATTTACATTTGCTACTTCTGGGGGATGAACTTCACTGCCATGCATACGTTTGAAATGTAACATGCTAACTCTCACATATTGGTCTAGCAGTTCTTGATGTACGTTTTAATGCTTCTTCTGTCATAACCTATGCATCAGAACCGACCTCCAAGCTTACGGCAACATTTGGATATTTGAAATTTTTTTTTTTTTCTTCTCTAGCTAGTAATTCACCCTCTTTGAACAAATGCGGATGCTCCCTTAAAAACCAAGGGAGCTACTGTAAGTGTTTTTGTGATGACAACTGGGAGTTCAGTGGTATCCATTTGCACCACAGAATATTAAAGCTTTATAAATGAGTCACTGAAAGCTTGATTGACCTCTCTTCAGAATCTTTCTCTTCCCATTCTCTGTAATTATATACTTTCTATACAAAACTTGTCATCAGTAACCGACCATAAAACTTTCAATTAAGAAGAAAAAAACACTGTTTTCCCCATTCCTTTTTAAGATGCAGTTTTATTAAGATTTGTTTATTGGATAGGAATATTTTCTTTGTGTGTCAATGAAAAGCCTAAGAATTGCATTAAACTTTGTTTAAATTTTTTTGAATCTTGATAAGCAAAACCTGATCTGCAAGCTGAAGGTCTGAAGAGGGATTTAGCTTGATAAAAGAAATTCATAGGAGGCCCTTAGCTCTCTCCTGAACATGTGCAATTTGAATGGAAAGGAAGAGATTTAATTAAATTATCAGCTCATCTCAAGCCAGGGCCTTTGCTGTTTTTATTTTGCTTCTTGACCCTATCGAGAAAATTAATTAATAAGGCTGCAGTGGGACTACCTAGACAGTGACTATACCATGCCTCTTGGTTAAGCTATTCCTGTACCTTAATAAGAAACTGTTATCTTGATCTACAGATTTAGAAAGAATGGCCTGTATGGGAATTGTGTTTCAGATGCTGAGTTCTGCTGGCACAGTGTTACAGAAAAATGCCAGTTTTCCATCCCAGTAGGAAAAATATGTATATATCTTTCTGTCTTTCTATTGGAGATATTAAATTGCTTTTTTCAGTCATGTAGGTTTGCTTCTGACAACCCGATAGATAAGGACTTGCTTATATCGGGCTGGTTTGAAATGTATCAGACATGGGTGAAACGTTTTAACTCGCCTGTTCCTTCTAAGGTACAAATATTATCTCTCATAGTTGCAATCCTGTACAGCTAACTGTCTTACACTGTAACAGGTATCAGCAGATTAACAGCTTTGTTCTGACTGTAGTGTAATCGGTGGCCACCGTACGCTGCACCACCCGAGTATATCTGTCAAGGCTGAGTTACTTCTCTTATTCTTCTATCTGCTGCCTTGAGGTCTAAGAGTTTTCCTGTCTGTCTTAGACCTAGTCCTTTGGGTTGTTTATTTGCCATATCAAATCATCTTTCAGAACGTTTAGTGAACAGCATCTAACGCTTCCAGGATAGATGGCATCAGTGATCGGTCCTGTCTTGTCCTCTCTATAGATACTGATTCTTCTCTCCTTCACAAGCAACTTTTACCAGTAGTGCTGTCCCTGGTTTTCTCTTATCAAATGGGTTTTGATTGTGTCAGACTCAAAAAAAAAAATTATAGAGGGTGCTTTTCAAGACAAATGGCACAGTAAAACTGCAAAATAGGATAGGACCATACAACATTTGAAATATTGCATCCTCAACTGCTTGTCAAAGTTGAGCATCGTTTTTGTTGAACCAAGTTCTAGGATTATATTCTTGGAAGAAATCTGCTGGGGGGAGGGGGGCGGCACCATAATACAGTTCAATATGTTCAATGATGCCTTATGAAAGAAGACTTTGAGGTTTTCATTTCTTCCTGCAAAGAGGTGAGGTGAAACTGATATACTGAAGCAGACAAATTAATATAAATACCTTTTCTACAACAGAATGGGGGGTTGCTATGGATCCTGTGTTGCATTTGGAAGATTTGCAGAGTGGCTGCAGTTCTGTGTTACTGTTACCAAGATGCAAGTAACAGCTTGATGAGGATGAAATAAAGCATTTCTTCTTTATCTGTTTTGCAGAGAGGAGTCAGGATAGCACTGCAGCAGTGCTCTCTGACTCCAGTTCCACCCAGGATATGTTTAATGAGCCTGCCAGTTCTCAAGACAGCCTGAGGAAGTCTTACACAGAGAAGAGGATTTCTACTTCCTGTTCTGAGGCGTTGATACCCACCAAAGAGACCCCAGGATCTACAGAGGAAAAGAGTATGACCATTTTAATAGATAGGGTCAGCTAGTATATTTTAATTAAAATGTTTCTTCCAGCAGGTGGAAGCATTGAAAGATGCTGCACTGTGAGTGAGAGTTTTAACTAGATGCTATTGCCGTGTGTATGTGTGTGGCTTAAAATTAGAACCATGTATTGTTCATATGGCCATCATCCCAATTTGCATTATTTTAAAACCTTCTGAACTGAAGAATCATGTGATAAATTGCTCTCTGTGATAGCCCTGTGACTGACTTTCCTTTTTTCCTTGGACAGTGATGCTGTTTTTGTTCTGGCCCAATAACAGGCTGCTCTTCGGTACCTAGAAGAGCACAAGTAATGGAGTTAGACATTTTATTCCACTGAATATTTTATTTCAGCGGAGAAGTGGGATTGCTCTCGGCCACAGTTTTCCATATAAAATACCTAAGCGTTCCATATTCCACTGGAAAAATTGTTTCAAAAAAATTGTTTTTACACCTTCCAGTATCCATTAGCTGGAATTTCCCTCTCTTTCTGCACAGCTGGATGTGGTAGCAGGG